AGCTAGCCTATCAAGGTAGATAAGATTCCTCATTAATTATAAAAAAATATTCCACTCTCTACTTCACAACAGCTGTGGAGAGCTTCAGGGATGTGAAACCCCACAATCTTGTGGATCTACAGAATTAAAAGCCTCCTTATGCAACAGCTTTATGTCACCTTACCCTTAAGTTCAAAGAATAGCTCGTGGACAGATGTAATGTCCAAATAGCTCAAGCACCACCTTTGCACTCGAACCCCTCAGTCTAAAAAACAAGGGAGAATTTTCAGAGCTGATTTACTCCCAAAATAGGCTGCGCTGAAAACAAGTTGCCATGTTCCACCTGAGTATGGAAGACCTAGTTCTTCAGGAGGCGGTTTTGAGGACTCACCCGAAAGAGGGCCCTTCTGCTGAGCCACCTGCTGGAGCTGTAGGATGTGGAAGCAGTCGTTGAGGCAGTTCATGGTTGCCATGGAAGTGGCTTTGAGCATGAGGAGGTCCTGGTCAAGAGGAGAGAGGCCTGTAGCAGATGGCAGACCCTCGATGGTCTGGATCAGGTCTCTGTGCTTCCCTTGTGCCTGGGTCATCATCTGCAGACAGACAGGAGAGAAAGGACCGTACAAGGCTAGCCTGCAGTCTCAAATCCAGAGAACGTCTGCCTCTCTGTTTTTCACTCACTTCAAGAGAAAAACAGTCTTTAGCCTAAAACAGTTAATATACATCATGCCACTCCCATCAAGATTTTTTAAAGAATTCATGGCCAAACTAACGTAAATTAATTTAAATTGCTTTGTTTGTTTTATGGTTTAGTTAAAAAAAATGTTACAGATGTTACATCATGTTAACACCTGCCTAGTTTCGGCAAAGACGGATCCGTTTTTGCCGAAGCAGGGGCTGTTTTTGTCTGTATTTTAAAAAAATCTTTATTCCATAGGCCTGAAATCATATTTAAAAACTAAATCTCAAATGAATTAAATATATTTGTACAGCTGTTTTGTGAAGCATATAAAAACATTTGTCCAGAAATGAATATTTTTCATATAATTATATATAATTTCATACCATAGTATGACATGCAAAAGACACTAAAAAAATAGTGACATTTTGCAGATGGAATGAGTTTCTGTACAAATGAAACAAGAGGAGCTTCAGGTCCTAACCACTTTGTCTGGTCTAGTCAATGAAAGATTGATTACACAACAGTTCAGTGACCTGGATATGCATACAAACTCAGGGCAAGATACTGAAAATCTGGACCAGATTTACAAAATAACTTTCGGGGAAGGAACTGTAGTTTGTACATACTTCCTCTTCAAGATGACCATGTGCCATATGAATTCTGTCAGTGACCTGAGTTATGGTCAGTATATATATATACACAGTACGTGTGTGTAATAAGATAAGATCACTTTATTAGCCATATACCACTTCTTGCATTAGGAAGTTGTCTTTTTTGCATACCCCAACTTGCTCTCCATGAGATACACAGATGAGGAGAGAGAAGCTGGGGGTCAGAGCGCAGGGTCAGCCATTTATATGGCGCCCCTGGAGCAGCTGGGGTTAGGGGCCTTGCTCAGGGGCCCAACGGAGTAGGATTCCTCTGCCGGCCGCGGGATTTGAACCGGCAACCTTCCAGCCACAGGCGCAGAGCCTTAGACACAGAGCCACCACACCGCCCTGGTGCATGCCTATAGCCTGTAACAGGCAATAGTCGGCTATAGTGTAGCAATCCAATCAAGACGAAGGAGCATTTGCTTTGAGCGTCTGGGTCAATGGAGCGAAACACAAGCAGAAATCTCGAGGGCCAGAAGTCGCACCTCCCTGACGTCCACCAGGTGGTCCGGCTGCAGGGACCTCTTGCTGGCCGATGTCGCCGAGCCCTTGTGCAGCTGCGAGATGCCGAAGAACGAGGCAGCGTTCTGACTGGGCCTCCGCTGCATCAGCGGGGACTTACCACTGCCCTGGGAGGCCACAGAGAAACTCCGGGACTTCAGGGGCGGATTGTTCTAAGAAAAAAAAAAACAAGGATTACTTATGGAAAGCGATTCCTGACTGACTCGGGAGTTAATCCAAAACAGGGGTGATCAACCAGCTCCCCAGTGCTAGGGCTGGGGAGCCCCTATAAAGTACCTGCCAGGTGAAGCATCACATAGGAACAAAGCTAAAACGTACGGCTCCATAATTCTATTCACTGTTGCAGTTCAGAATGTTCTCATGTTTTCCATTTAGTTTTTACATTAACCACTAGGGGTCATCGGTGGATGAAAGTTTATGAGTTCAGTTCAGTTTGTCATATGCACAAGTGCAATGAAATGTTTATTTGCATGAGATAAGATAAGATCACTTTATTGGCCATATACAATTTCACGTATTAGGAATTTGTCTTTTTTGCATACCCCCACTTGCTCTCTATGAGACACACAGAGAGGGAGAGAAGCTGGGGGTCAGAGCGCAGAGTCAGCCATTTATACATGCTCCGGTACAAAAACAAACACAGGAAAGCAGCAGCAACAAAAAGTTAGAGACTAGCAACAACAAGAGCTAGATCCAATACAATCTGCTCCTTTACTTTCTGTGATCCTTCTGCTTTCTTATGTTTCAAACAAAAATAGAATCAAACACAAAAGTAATTTTGCCACGCTACATCCATCTGAACATTTCTCTGCCGTCCAAGAATCACAATCAGTTTCAATTAGTAATGACGACAATGACCAGGGAAAGCTTTTTGAGGAGTGAAGGCGAAGATGATTCATGACTCGGAGTCGGATAACACAGTATTCAAAGGGGAAAGAAGGAAGCACTATCCTAACCTTGCCCAAGGCCTCCGTGTGATGCTGAGTACAAATCTGAAGTCTGCTAACCCAGTGCTGTCTTTCTTTAGCATCTGTGGCTGCAAAGTAAATAGACAGGTCATTAAATCATTTGGAAAAGAGATCTAGATCACCAAACTGTCAGTCCCATCAACCTCGTCAGTGGCTGCAGTGCGAAGGCTTTGAAGTTTCTTTAAAAAAAAACAAGCAGAGACGGGACTTGCAGGCGCGTGTTTTTTTAAATCAGGCTTTAATGCGCAGGCTCTCTGCGGCGTCTGCGGAGATCGGGCTCCTGAGCAGCAAGCCTGGTACCTCTGAGCTTGTACTGCTCCCCGCTGATGGCGTTGACGGTGAAGGTGTGCGAGTCCTCATCGCTGGGGGAGATCACAGCCCCTGCCAGGGGCAGAGTTCCGCGGGGCTTCTGGGGCCTGGACTGCTCATTCACAAAGTACTCCAGCACCCCTGCCTCATTGTTCAAGACAAAAAACCTGCAGGGGGAACAACAGATACCTGAAAGGCGGCATTTAGCATGGCGTACTGAAGATGTTCTTATCATTATTAATTATTTTTTATTTAGCTTGAGCATCATATGCTACTAAGAAGGGGCACATTTCTCTCTGATCTATTTTTTTTTTTAGTTGTTAAAGCTTCTCACAGATTTGGCAGAATATAAATGCAAAGATACAATTTCATATTTCCTAGTTTTGGGGGGGGGGGGGGGTGTAGAATAGGGTGGAGTAGGTTTCGGAAAGAGAGGCTAAACGAGTATGTGCCTGTCACACGTCTCACAGCACTGCCATACTGAAGAAGAATGCACTGTGGGATGGAAATCAACCTGGAGGTAAACAGGCCATTTGGCATTTGGCAAAGCTTGTAGTACTAGCAAGCTGAGGCACAATACTTGGCCCAGGCTGCCTTCCCATTTAGGGTTACACTGACTAAAACCTTGTGTGACCCTCTGCTATTTTCATTCAGGAAGTTATGAGGCCCTTGAGTAGTAAGCATCCTAAAAATGAGTACTAGCTTTTTTTAAACATTCTTTCCAAATCCATGCCCAGTGTACTATGGAATAACCTTCTTCAGATTATGTGTTTTTTGATGTGTATGTAGTCCTACTACTGTATTAAGAACACCACAACACATAATGATATTACTGCTCTGTAAACAGTCCAGAGAAGACTGACTAGTAAATTTCTGAGCACCAAAAAATGTCTTACACTGACAGGTTAAAATAAATGAATGTTTTAGTCCCTGAAGAGAGAGGACAAGCTGAAACTAAGGGAAAGTGCGTTTAAAATGGTAAAAAAAAGACCACACATTTTCACACAAAAGACAGGGAGAGTGGAACAAGCTACCTAGCCATGTCATTGAAGTCTATACCCTGGCTTGTTTCTGGAAGCAGCTGAATGAGATTCTTGGGTCAAATGATCTGTAGTTGGATCAACCAACAAAAACTTTTAAGAAATGAAACTACAAAGGCAGAATGTTGCACCACAGGCTGATGATTGGTGTTAAATGTATTCCATTTCCGTATCTGCCATTTTTGCTATAGATAGATAAACATCTTTCCAAATCTCAAGCAGCTGGTGTTTGCACAGACAGGAACCGTTTACTGGTCAGTGCTATTGATCTTCAGCCTCTAATCTGCTCAGTGCATTTCACTCACCTGTACTGCCAGCCCGTGACAAGGTTGGTGTACTTCATCAGGTAGCCATCAATATTCTCCATGTGATCACTGCATCAAGAAAACAAGATTGTTCAAGATACCTCTTTTAACGTTTCTAAAACCAATGCAGACTCCAGGTGTTAGAATTACAAACAAATTAAAACTTAAAATAAACAACTTTGGGTATGATAGTCACATGTCTAGTGCTGCTTAAGAGCTAGCAGAGGAATAATCACAGCTTGAGCTTGAGAGTAATATTGCACCCCAGCTAGCGTCCTGCAATATGTGCAGTGTCTGCACTAGCTTTGCACTGATTTTTATTATGATCTTGTTCTGCCTTAATTTGACTGTACTGTTAGCCCTATAAATGGTATAGATCAGGAGGATTATGGAAGGGGCATAATGTTCCCACATTGCCTAGGTTTATCCTACAGCAAGCAAGCAAAGTGGTTTGACTGACAAGTAGGTGATCATAGGCAGATGTTCAAATACACTTGTACACTGCATGGTCTTGTGTACAAAAACCCAATTTCCCAGCTCAACTGTTTATGTGAAGGTAAACCAATTTAAGCTGTGGTAATGCAATCTCTTTTGCAGGAAAGAAAACATTACGAGTAGTAAAGAATTTGTAATCTAGAAGTCAATAAATGCTCAATTTCCTGGTTCTGAATATAGTAGGCAAATGCACCTAAGTACCATTAATGTGACCGTCATTGATTTGTGAATAAACCTGAGAGCATTTAACGCACACTGAAGCCTCTCCGTCTTTTACACCATCTCCTTCACGTTGCAGTCCAGGCTTCTATCACTGTGCTGATGGAAAAAGCTCTGTGAAAGCTCACTGCAGATCATAACTAATGCACAGAAGCCTCGCATTCACACACAAAAGTCCTCCTGTGCAACCTGGCATTTTTATTATTTGCTCCCAAAAGGAATATTGTTACTTTTCAGGTAAACGCAACATGCAGATTGCAGTGCAAAATGAGTCTCCCCTCTTACATCATTCTGCTCAAACGTTAGGAGTTTGAAAGCGACAAGACACCATATGTAGCTTTTCATGTTTTCAAGAGAGCATCCCTAGGTATTTGTTAATCCATCCATTACCAGAACGGGATTTCTTCCTGGGATAGGGGTCACAAAAACTACGTCCATCCTGGAAGCACAGACAGCAAGACAGAACTGCACCCTGGACAGGACACCTGTCACATGGAACTACATCACAGACAAAATCACAGTGCACCTCACAGGGTGCTCGGATACAGAGACTTTGTAGAGACAAGAATGAACCTGGCCAGTATGTCTTTGGAAAATGGTGAAACCAGAAAATAAAATGTATACAAATGGGTGAACGTAAACTCCATACAGAAGGCTCTCTAGTCTGGAATCAAACCCAGGACCCAGAGCTGTGAGGATCTCAGCTGCAAAGTCACTGTGCCTCCTACATACATCAAGGAATTATTCACAGAAAATACAGCAGCATTTAAAAGGCCTGTGTCCTTGACAATCCTGTCTTGTGAAGAACTTTCAAGGTTGAGAAAATTACACTAACACCCTGCCATGGGACCTCTGGTTACTATCTGAGAGCTTCTGTTTGAGCTGTTGACTGAAGCAAACAGATTTCCAGCAGTCACATCGGAGAATTCACAAGACAGTCTTCGCTTCGTCGGCTCTCTTAATTGCATTCTACAAACAGGTACGTCATCCCTGAAGGCTGCAGTCCCAGGAACCAGGAAAGCACAATAACCTTCAAGTTGTTAACGAAGACGCCAGAGCAACAGGCCTACCTCAGCAATGCACTCCCCAAGGCTAAGAGTGGCTGGGCAATTTCATCTAATTTCACACACCAAAAACAGCACTGATCCATCAGACAAAGCAGGCGACTCTACACTGCGAGTCCCAGACTGGACAACAATTCTTCAACTATGAACACAACTGTAAAAAATCTGAAAATGGGGTGCTAAATAACTAACCTGCTGCTGTTCACGTCTCAGGGTCCTCAGTGAAGCGATTTTGAAAACCACTTGTAGAAACTACGAAGGCTTGGAGTGTTGATGTTAACAGAATTTTCAGATTCTGGGCAGCATGGCAAACATTTAAAAGGGTAAACAACATTAGGATAGTTACAAATGTAGTGTATAAAACATAGGATTTTGTGTTAATATTCTATAATGTACCAGTATGACCTTCTTACTTTCAGTTTTGGTCACTACAGTACATTTGGAGACCTAGGCCTCCCTGTCTGCTTCACTACAGGGGGAGAAGGCAGTGGAGGTTTCTAAAAAATAGGGCATGTGTGTCCTTTAAAGATCAGTGGGATTTTCAGTTGCTTTTTTAAGTTGCTGCTTGACCCATGCAAAAGCATGAGCTACAGCTCACAGAACCAGTTCAGAGCCGAGCAACTAGATGCATTCTGGGAATGTCCCTAAAGGATGCCCTACATTAACAAGTAGCTGAACCTTCTTAGTCTTTTTATGACTTCTTCAGAATCAACAGTGAACACAAACCAGAGGACACTTCTGAAAACAGCAGGCAGGCGGGTTTAAGACCGAGAACAGGCCTGGGGATCTGTGGAGCGAGGTACCCAGCCGTGTTGTTGAAGCCAACACCCCGAGCGAGGTCTTCAGATCACTTATCTGTCAGCAACCAAACAGGCTTGGTGGGCTGAACAGCCTCCTCTTTTTACACACATTTAGTATGTTTGTACTGAACTGAAAAGGCAACTTTAATCAACACTAGTCAGAGAATAATTAGATAAAAATATGAATGTAACACACCCATTGTTTTAGATAACACTTCACAACTGGCACAAAGAGTATTGCTTTTTAGAATGCATCAACAATAATAAAAAACAATATTTCCACCTAGTCCTTCATACATGTTACTGGTATTTAATTTAGCATTTAACATTAACTGTATAATGAACTTATAGGGGATGGCCCTACATATAAAGAATGTTTTGGGTTTCTACCGAACCTTGAAAGGAAAACCTCTAAAAAACATTCCCCAGACACAATAAGAGAATCTAAAAATCAAGTAAAATCACAGTACGAAAGCAATACGTAAAGAGCTTCCCAGACTCCCATTAACCTGCTTACTGTAAACAGGAGGATGCTTATAAAAATCTTGCTGACACTACAAGGTCTTTTCACATGCTCCACCAGACAATCACAGCCTCTGAATGACATTATCTTTCTCCAGCGTGCTTCAATCTTTAGTTTTAAATATTTAAGAATTCTCCCAGACTACTTGTCATTCTAGCTAACGTGTTTCTGACAGGGATTCATAATACTACTGTGTCACATGAGCTTCATTTTAAACAAATGTGTTGAGCAGAGTCAAAGGGTAACTAACCTGTAACAACATAATATTTCCATGGAAAACACTGTCCGATTTAACAAACTTCCATTAGAAAGATCTAGAAACTGATGGTTAAACGCAGTGAAAAGCAACGTCAGCCCATTGTTCCTAATTCAGCTCTTCTGACTCATGATTGGAGATTAAATTTCATCTGCGACAGGCCTGAAAAATAAGCAGATGCCTTCTGAAGCTTATTTTAAGGGCTTGGTGTCTAGACACTGCATCTTTGGGAAATAAAATGTTTCACTTAAGGTTGCTGGATCCTGGAGTGCTAGCACAGTTCAGCATTAGTACATAAAAGATGGGTTTCCTCAACAGTAAAAAAAAAAAAAACGAAGGCTTGTACTGGCTTTCATTTCTAATTGCTGCCTTGTTACTCTCACAGTACCGCAGGCTATATCTGATGCAAACAAGCTCAGGCAGAAGGTGTTTTGTCTCTTGCAGACAGAACACCTCACTCGACAGCTCCATGATCTTCCATAGCAGAACCAGACCCTGGGTACCTCCTGAATTCCTGCCCGCAAAACGCTAAGCTGTCCTAAACAAATACAAACAGATAATAATACATTTGAAAAAGTAAGCACAAATGATAATTGTTCAATTGGTTCAATGATGTTCATCACTTCTCTGCACTAACAACGAAGGGGGGAAAACATTCCCTTGTCAATTCTGGACTCTATCATTCGAGGCCCATTAAAGCAGATACCACTGCACACCTCGGGCATGAGCAACCCATCCCGTATTTCTCTTTTATTCTGGAAACAACACTGTAAAGTCACAATAACGAGCCGAATGAAATATTTCAAACCAAAGAAGAAAAAAAAGACAGATTACATCTGTTTTTTCTGTACGGTCTCGTGAAGGTAATATGAAAAAACGAATCGGTTTCGGGTTGTAAAATCCGCAGTGTTGCAGCAGGTCAGCTTCGAGTAGCACAGTCTGTCCTGGCATGAGAGAAGCGCGTAACGTCCCAGCTTGTCTGAGGGTTTAGCTTTTACCTTCAGGCTGGCTTGACAACTTCAAGTAGGAAACACTAACAGCAACATCAGACACAAACTTGATTTAAGCTTCACAAAGATTGACTGTCAAGCACAGGGGTCTCAAGCTCAATTCTCAGCCTGGGCAGTTTTCTTAGATAGAGGATTCTGTAAGGTCCTATGCAGCTGATTACTCATACATTTACTTCATTAAAAGGTCTAGTTACTTACAAGACACCCTGCTTACAAATATTACAATTATAAAGTCAACGAAATTTCTAGATCAATTATGTAACAGACTTCAGGTCTTCTAAAAACAGAATACACAATATTACACCCCCCAGAAACTACTTTTGTTGAAAATAAAAATTACAGAATGATCTAGCTGGAGTAGATTATTTCTAACCTCAGCATACTGATGTTTATACAGTCTTCCAACTTTCTGCTTAAGAATCAGCACTCTTATTTCTACAAATACAAACCTCCTAACAGCTTACTAGATTATAATGACTAACGAGTTGGACTAATATATCACCAACTGCCACTGAGTTTTCCTTCCACTTCAGTCCTTTTGGTGACATTTCAGCGCACACGCCCACAAGACAGCAGGTCTAAAGCTCTTTATTAATGCTGAGACCACCTCGTTCAGGTTTTTCAGGGTTGAAAGTAAAACTGAAATCAATTAGCCTGAGATCAGAGTGGCACAGAGGTCAGCATTGCTGCCTCACAGCGCTGGGGCCCTGGATTCAAGTCCTGGGATCCTATCTGCGTGGAGTTTGCACGTTCTCCCCAGGTTTGCAGGGGTCTCCTCCCACAGCCCAAAGACATGCTGATGGGTTAGCTGGCTTCTGGGAAACGTGGCCCTGGTGTGGACGTGTGTGTGTCTCCGTTTGTGTCACTGTGTCTGCCCGCAATAAACGTGTGTCCTGCCTGGCGTCCCTTGCTTGCTGGGATAGGCTCTGGTTCCTCCACGACCCCGATTCGGATAAAGCCGTTAGAAAATGGATAGGTTGATGGATGGATAGACTGTGAGTAAGAACTTGACTGGAGCAAAACAGGACAAACCTTAGGACCGGAGCTGGAAGCTACTGATCTCACAGATGAGGTAAGGGCAAGCCAAACGCCAAGATCAAATAGATTCACAATAGTGCAACAGGGAGTAAAAACATCCTTGCAACTCTGGCAACGCAGTTAAGACTCAAGAGTTAATCAAGTGGCAGTAGGATTCGAAACTTAATTTGGGGAATATGCCATCTGAAATATACTGCTAGGCTGGTAAAAAAAAATCAATAAACGTGTACGTTTTCTTCACCGCAGCACTCAAGCCTACATTAAGGACTGAAACTAACAACAGATCAAATGGCACAAAAATCAAGTTCCCAAAACAAGCTCGCTGGCAAGGTTGAAAAACACTACGCACTTCTATTTCTTGCATTTATAAACAACTGTCAAGGGAATACGTTTTAAGGTGGTGATTTTATCGTTGATCGTGATTTTAGAGAGCTGGTGAGGATTCAGGTCTCAATGAGCGGTCACAGCCCCTGTGTTGAGTCACTTGGTATCTCTCGGGCATCGACTAGACCAGCTCATCGGCTTCCTTTGAAATCGTGTGGTGTTTTTGTTTTGTCGTGGGAAAATCCCCGTCTGAGAGAAACGTTTTTCAACGCAGTTGATGTAACAACAAGCGGCGTTTTAACACCGTGGCCAAGCATCGGTGACGTTTCAGAGAAGCTTGCGTGTTTTGTTTAAGCCAGTCCCTTGCATTCCCGCACCCAGGCTGTGAGCAGATTTGAAAAATAATACATTTCACATTAAACATATTACCTGTACTGCCAGCCCTTTGAGGTTCCCCTCCCCGAGGCTGGAGTCTTACTCTGGTTATAGAGCTCCAGCTTTCCTTCACTCTCCGATATTCGCATCGCTGTTACTTCCGCTTGCATGATCCCCGGCTGTGTTCCCGGACCCACGCAGCGTGGAAAGGTGGAGGTCCCGCAGAGTTCAACACCTTAACCCCGCGGTACAGCAGGGTCCACTCTGCTACTGTCCGGCGGGGCCCTGTACTTCCAGAGGCCTCACACAAGTCACAGAGGGGAAAGCGACGCGAGGAAACTAGCAGAAACCATCCAGACCTGCTGGACTGTGGCCGCCGACCCCAATCTGTTTCATCATTTCACGATTTTACACCCGATTTAAATGATTTCCAGTCCCCAGCTTTCTCCACAGCAGACAGGACCCAGCTCCGTCCCTGAAAATCTCAAAATGATTCACTGAGTCATGTGACACAGCATGGGCGGGTGGAGGAAGGGGGGTCAGGTTCACACAATCACTTCCGAGGTCAACCGACAGCTGGAATCCATTTTTATGAGGGGCAGTTTGCCCTAGGAGTGTTGTTGTGAAATGGGTCCCAAATCAATAGGATATAACTCTCTTACCGCGGTTCATTACAAGGTATGAAGGCAAAGCAAACACGTAGCCTTCTAAAGGAACCACAGGAGTTTAATTTAACTCTGAAAATTAGAAAAAATACATTTCGTCTGTGGAGCCTTCTTCAGGTGCGAGGCTCACACCTGAATTTGTACCTTAGCAACCTCCCACCCATCTCGAAATATAGCCACATAGCCGAAATATGTGTACAGCAGTTTGTACGCTGTCATGGTGAAGTATTTGTTTTTCTTGGCAAAATAATGAAGTGACACCTAAGCTATTTCTGTTATGTTTTGCAAGGTGAAATTCGGGCAAAAGAGAACACGTTTTGCATTTAATGATCTACGAATATGTTTCTCCTTTTGGTGTGATGCTAAAGGATAAAACCGATCAAAAACCTGAAATAAGTCAGCCAGGCGGTGACATGTTAATACTGACCTCAGCACTCCGCGCAAGTCTTGCACGCCTGAGTAATATTTGAAGGAGAGTTATGGGTGTGGAGACAGTGGGCGGGTTGACCGTTGAAAAGGTAATAACAACAGGAGGAGTTTAGCTGTTTATATAGACTGTATAATACATGGTATGCAAAATGGTAGTAAAGGAGAAGAAAAAACTCTAGGGGTTCCTCTATCCAATAACAGGAGCGACACACCTAACAGAGTGAACGGCATTCTTAAGGCGTGTTCAGGAAGTGAATAGTTAACTTCACTTTAAAATTTACAGATAGCAACTGAAGGTCCCAGACAGACGCAGAAAGTTATAAAGCTGAGGTGAAAAATGCCAGGAAAAAAAGTATGCATCGTTGGATCTGGTAATTGGTAAGAAATTTTAAGCGTATTCTCCCACACTTTCGTTTCTCGCACACAACCGGTTTGTTGTACTGTGTGTATACGCGGTTTATGTGTGTAGTAGGCAACATTAACACGTCTTCGGTGTCTCCAAGACAAAAGTTCTGAAAAATGAAGATTTGGATTTTGACTAAGTGACAGTGTGCGTCACATATTTAGCAGCGCGTTTCTTTATATATATGTTTTTATTTATATATATTCTTTCTATATATGTTTTTTTTGTGCGTGTGATCACGCCGGTTATATGATTTCGGTCTTCTTGTCAGGCGGAGGCTTGTCAGTATAGAGAATGTGCAAGAAGGTAGTGCAAAATAAAGGGAGTTTCTCACTTAACTATTAGTGTCAATGTGACTGTAACTCCAAATCATGTGTTAGTGCGTGGTATGTGCGTGTAAAGGATACACTAGCTACCACTGACAAAATATGCATAAATTAAGTTTTTACTTTTACTTGAAAGCCGGGTTGGTTGAACTGTGCACGCGTTTTGTGTTGTTAAATACAGACCCTATGGTTATTTTCGTCATCTTCGTTCAAAGAAATCCGCGACCTTTGCTTAGTAAATATTTTTAAAACGTCATTTTGCATAATTTTATGATTTAGCATTAAATTGCAAGGACAGACATTTGTCTACATAAATGTCCAAGACACACCTGTTTGAATTATCAGCTTTCAGGTTTGTTACATTTTTAAAAATTATTGCAGCTTTAGACTCAAGTCTGACGTAAGTCTTTTTCTCAGTTCAGAACACGCAGGTGTTAGTAATAATGTTTTCTTTTATCTTTATCAAGGGGGTCAGCTATTGCTAAAATCATTGGCCGGAATGTAACCAGGTCAAACAGATTTGATCCCATTGTGAAAATGTGGGTTTTTGAAGAAGTGGTGAATGGGAAAAAGCTCAGCGAGATCATCAACACGGAACATGAAAATGTGAAATATCTTCAAGGACACAAGCTTCCAAAAAATGTGGTAAATGAAAAGTATGATGTCTGAGAAATGTAATGTGCGTACATTAGGGTCTGCATGTGCAGCTGACACAGACCCGTTGTGGTCTGATGTACAGTATCAGCACTTTTACTTCTCCTCAGCTCATTCTGCACTGTTGTGTAACAAGCCAAGCACAATATCGTAATGTGACTGAAACAAATAACTTAGTTCATGACGCCTTTAAAAATGGTTTAAAGGCTTACTGCATACAAACTGCATTAGGCTACTTAAAAAAGATGATTTGGTAATATGATGAGTAATATGAATGGAGCTGGCGTAGGACTCAGCAAAAGGGGTTGAACAACAAATTTAATAGCCAGAACCGGGGTAGACACACAGGAACCGGGGGGTTACAACACGGCACCTACTTCAACAGACATGGAAGGGAAGAGGCCCCCGTCCCCTATACAGTCGCGTAGCCCCCTCCCCCCCTCAGGCGCTGTACTCAGCTCGCAGTGCGTGGCGCTATACTGCCAATAAAGGAGGTTTTAAAAGACTGTAGATCTGTAGACTGTAAAAGTTTGATTTAAATCAAGGGCTATTAGGATAAAATTTAATAAAAAAACTACTCCGGCCTTGTTTAAAGCACAGCGTACAATTTTGGTCACGATGTTGTAGAAAAGATATTGTTGTTTTAGATATTGTCTTAAGAAGAGCAACCAGACTCATTGTTATAAGGGAATGTCCTACATTGACAAACTGCAAGAATTTTACTTTTTTTTTGTCTTGAACTGAGAAGATTATGTTGATGCCAGAGTGACCTCCTGTCATTTTTATACTTTCTTATGCTTTTAAGACTTGAAACAATTGTATTCTTATAGTGTGTCATTTTACAATTTGCATAAACAGGTCTCACTAGCACATACTAGTGTAGGATTTTATCTTCTGTGCCACTCCGGTTTAACTCAGCTACAGTTAAGTATTTCCTATGTAGTACATTGTTTTATTCAGGATTCCCTTTATGTTCAGCTATAAAGGTGAGTGATCATAAGTATTAATGGCGAGTTGTTATCTGTGTTTTCCTTATGAACCTGCTGTAACTTAATCTTGACAGAAACAAGTCAGTACTGGCTTTTCTGTGGTAGTCCTTAGGCAAACCTGTCATCGAATTATCATTCAGAAAGAACTACAAAATAGCCAAGTAGTAATGAATGTAAAAATGCATAATTGCAATGCTGAAATGCACTCTAAAGTGCAGTGCTTCAAACAAATTGACCCGTGGCAAGGTTTGACAGAGCGCGTGTTCACAGACCATTGTATTACGTTAGATAATATGGCCTTTTGCCTACTTGATTCTGTGCCAGATTGATTCTTGTGGCCACCAAAGCTTTTATGACCGATTGCTATAAATGGATGATTTTATCTGGGGCAAGGGTTATACTTGGCTATTACTTAGGCTATTTTTTACAGTCAAGTATTTGGGGAAAAAAAGGATATAGCACTAAACTCCATACGCCAGTACATCAATCTGATCTTTTCCTTTATCTGTTTTTTTTTTTCAGGTTGCAGTTCCAGATGTGATTGAGGCAGTAGCTGGTGCCGACATTTTGGTCTATGTTGTTCCCCATCAGTTCATCGGGAAACTGTGCGACCAGACGAAGGCTCAGATTAAACCGGGAGCCATTGGAATATCTCTTATCAAAGTTAGTAAAACGTATCTACCATGCTACAGATCTTTGCAAGACAGAAATACGGATGTGTAGCAATGGGATAATGAAGAAACGAGTTTTCTCCTGGTGCTTTGGTTTCCTCCCAGCTTCCAAAGGCTGCTGGTTAGGTTAATCGGTGTCTATGAATTGTCCCTGAGTGCATGTGTGAGCCCTGCAATGGACTTCTGTCCCCTCCACACTGGAGTCCTGCCCTGCACCCTGTGTGTTCTGGACAGGTTTTTTGGGAACATGAGAAAGGGCACAAACAACAGGAGCTCCTCTATTCTGTTTGGTAGTTAGTAGCTAATAGGATCTTATCCAGCTGTTTTGAAGGAAATCAGGGTATTATTATTATTGCTTACACTTATATAGCGCTTTTCTGGACACTCCACTCTAAGCAATTTACAGGTAATGGGGATTAATACAGGTATTAGCTTCTACAACAGGTCTGGGTAGATTGTTTCTTGTTTCTATAGTCCTAAAACCAATTGGGTAAGGACGTGCCCCCTGTTCTTAGTTTTAATCACACTTTGTGTAGAAAATTAAAAAAAAAAATCTGAAAATGAAATCTTATTGTTTGCTGTGGGATCCGTATGTGAGATGGGGGGGGACTTGACGATCTGAACTCTGTTAATTGACACCTTTCCTGTCATGTTGCTCTTGCAGGGCATTGACGAGGGCCCAGAGGGCCTGAAGCTGATATCTGACATAATCAGAGAGAAGATGGAAATAGAAGTAAGCGTGTTGATGGGGGCCAACATCGCAAATGAAGTGGCTGATGAGAAGTTCTGCGAAACAACCATAGGTGACTCTTTTTGGAAAGGCACTTTTTGAACAGATCCAGAAAGGGTCCGCCTGCAGGACTGAACTCCTCTCTGGGACGTCAGGGTTGTTTATGCTTGAATCAGCTCCTCGTCTGTTGCCCATCACTGTTCCAACGTGGCAGTTCGTGCTGGTTACGGTTTTCAGAATCTGAGAAGGCAGGATCTCATTTTCAGTGCTCACCGCTTGTGCAGCATAAAAAACCTGAAGCTAGAGCAACAGATTGTCCTCTGTGATTACCAGAAAATGGGGAGATGCTGAGAAATGATTATGCATTTTTTATCAGAATGGTTACCGCATGCTCATAGATAAGAACAATTAAGCAGATTTAGTGCCACATAATTTGCTGTAAAGGCAAAAATAATAGAATATTCTTTAATCATCTTTTTGCACTTCTTTAGCAAGAAATGATCGATGATCAAATGTTGAGAACAAATTGACAACAAATAATTCAGATGTTTTGAATGAAGAGAAAATGAGAGACCTGAACATACTGCCAACATAAAAAATCTCCCAATGCAGAATTTTACCACTGTTTCGAGCAACTGCTCTGCTATTACATCATTATCTCCTAGACAGCTGTTTTCAAGCACATTGTGTTCCTTCTTGGGCTGCACATCTGCTTTTATAGTATGTGTCTTTTCACATTTTAATTATGAAGTATGAGTTTTTTCCTCATAAACTTTGTGCCTCTTTATAACAGCAGGCTGGGTTTGTGCTGTCCATTTGCAGTTATTTTAGTACAAATACTCAGCACTTTCATTTTCCTTCACTGCAGGCTGCAAAAATGAGCAACATGGTCAGGTTTTCAAAGACCTCCTGCAGACCCCAAACTTCCGAATCACAGTGGTCAAAGAGAGTGACACTGTGGAGCTCTGTGGAGCTCTGAAGGTAAGAACTGGCATGTTTAAGAGACATGGCTAACCTCCTCTGATGTATTACGTATACATTAAGGAAAGACACAGCTGGGCTCATCACGAAGAGAACATTTCACAATTAATATTTTACACTAGAGAGCCATTGCTTGCTCTAAATTCTAATTCTATTGCTGTGCAAAAGTCTAAGCTTAGTCATAAGAAGTAAGATTAAATGTACTGCATCCCACACAGCCCAAACATTTTTTTTCTTTCTATTCATGCTTTTCAGCATGAGATTAACCTCTAATCTTGTTTCCTGCTTGCATGATAGCACAGGTCCCCACTTGAACCGTTACAGTATCTGTACATTTTATGTATCAAACATTTTCTCAAAGCCTACTGTATGTTACCATCCGTTATTTTCATGATTTTTGAACACTGTTTTTTGGTTACCAGTACTGCTTAGTTTGAGATCACATTGATCAGATCTTCAATTGCATAATCACAAGCACTCAAAACAAACAATAAGTGAGCAGCCAGTGTGAAAGGTTGCAGTAGCTAATCTTCATACTTTCTGATTATATTATCTCATTGTCTAGTGACTTCGTAGCTATCGGGCCTAACAGCCACGGTGAAATGGTTAAAATTTTCACTAGAAGCTCATTTCTGCATATACAGTAGAAGGGGAATATATTATGTAGACCAATACAAAACTACACTACACTATGCACTGTTTATACCTCAGTGCATGTATAGATTCACATTTAAGTTGTCAAGTGTAGCAGTGCATGAAAAGATGTAATTCATACTGCATCTATCACGGGACTGTTTATTGCTGTGCACAATATGGTTCACATAGTCTGATAACGTATGAATATGGATCACAGAATGGATTCAAATAAAGGTATGTCTTGAGTGAGGTTCTGTTAATTCCTAAGCACTCGGTCTTGTGTGTCTTGTACCTCGAATGGCCGTCAGAACATTGTGGCTGTGGGGGCTGGCTTCTGTGACGGGCTGGGCTTCGGGGACAACACGAAGGCAGCCGTGATCCGCCTGGGCCTGATGGAGATGGTGGCCTTCGCCAAGCTGTTCTGCAAGGGGGCCGTGACCTCCGCCACCTTCCTGGAGAGCTGCGGCGTGGCGGACCTGATCACCACCTGCTACGGGGGCCGGAACAGGAAGGTGGCGGAAGCCTTCGTCAAGTCCTCCAAGGTCAGCGCAGGCAGAGGGCGCTCACGCCCAGGTTTCGTGTTGCTTCCCCACGTTCACAGTCTGTCCTGACGCACCTTTTGGTGTTCGATGGTGGACACGAGGTTCGAATTGCAGTGGATGGGGAGCTTCTAAGCTGCAAGGAAGAAGTTTCGTGAGAGTGCCCCGTGACGGTCAGGGCTCTTTCAGGTGACGTCTTGGGCCGCATGTCTCACCAGCGTGCTCGTGAGCACAATGAGGAACAATGACTCACTGGTGAATCACCACGGGTCTTTATTCCACCTCCCAATCTGAAGATGTGCTACATGGAGGAAAAGCTTGAGATCTGCAAATAAAAGTTACCCTTCTTTGCTTGAAGAGGTGGTGATTTCATTTAAATAACCTTGATTTTTTTTTTTAACACCCAGTCTATTGAAGAGCTGGAGAGAGAAATGCTGAATGGGCAGAAACTCCAGGGCCCTCAGACTTCGGCCGAGGTGTACAAGATCCTCAAACAAAGGGACATGGTTGAGAAGTAAGTACTGTGGCCTGGGGTTTTCCTTTAGTCTTGGGTCATGCTCGTCATACTATAGCTTCACACTTTAAATGTCTACTTTTCTTCATTTTAAAAGAAAAATGAGGGCAACCAAATTTGTGGGCCAGGTACTCTGGAATAATCATTTATGTTCTTCTACACCATACATATCTGAGCCATGTCACACACTTTGCGCAATATATATATATACGCATTATTTTTGTGTTCAAAGTTCAGCCTCATCAAGGGTGTAACCAGTGATTAATCTACATGGTAGTTTGGTGTTGAGAAGTGGGCTGAAGTGTTGTGCAAGATCTTGAAAAAGTGTTAAGGTCATTTCTTGTTTTACACAGGTTGGACTGCCTCTGCTACTTGACCCACTTAAAAACTGGGGCCATGTATGAGGCCTGAATGTTCTTTATGCCAGTTTAAGTTGAATTAAGCCTGTTTCTGTTTAGCTGATACCATGGGATTTCCCACTTATTGCACTTCAGCGCAAGGTGCTTGCCGTCAAGTGTAACAGCCAACTGTCTATCTAAATATATTGTCCCTCTTCTGCTCCAGAGAGGGCTTTTTAAATCTTTTAACAGCTGAATGGAATTAAATTTCCATGGAGTTTCTCTGTGATAGGACTCTCTGTGATATTCTATGACTATGATTAATATAATAAAAAAGCTATGAAACACCATGTCACCTTTCCATAATCATGGACAACTCAGGTGTTGGATGCGTGTTCATGGTGAGAGGTCTACTGAGTGCTGTGGAATTGGATAGAATTTAAGTTGGGGTGCATAGACACCCACAGAGCCATAATCTTGTTTTTAGTATCTTGGACATTTTTTAAATTTGAAAGAATTTGTACAATGGCCGTGAAATTGGGCGACTCAGTAAGGAAGGTGAAGGTTTAAAATTAGAATGAGTGAAATCCCCTTAACATTTTGCTTTTGCTGTTTTAACCCAGGTTTCCACTGTTTACGGCTGTCTATCAGATTTGCTTTGAGGGCCGACCTGTGAAGGACTTCATCTCATGCTTACAAAACCACCCCGAGCACATGTGATGTGGGAGCTCCAGTGCACCTCTGTGAACCTCAATCTTTCCTTTAAGCAACGTTTTTACTAGTGGCTGACGTAAAACGCACAATAACTAGAAATCTTATATTCAAGGTGATTTTAAAATCTGTTTCAACACTAAAATAATGTTTCTTAAGTCATACCATGCATGAGAGGTTATTATTATACATTGTTCTCAGATTCTGGCGATTCTTAATCTAATTGTTATTAGATTCATATATATTACAAGAAAATAGTTCTTTAAACAGGAAAGGAAATGAATGTTGCTTGAATAATTTTATATTCAAATACTTTATTTTTTAACACAGCAATTTTTGAAGAATGGATGCCAGGATTACATTTAAACACATTTCGCACATTTCATGATAAGAGGTGTGATTTCTAGAACATGTTCAGGATTCTGAATATTCTTGTGTTTCTCTGAATATTCTTGTATTGCTCTCATGTTGGATATTTACTGTATGAATTACAATGGTTCTCTTGCTTATTTGACTCTTTATATTGCAAGTTAATTATGCTGATTTAGGTTAGTTTCCTAAAAACAAATAAAAAAATATATTTCTGCATTTGAAACTGTTGAAATGACACTGGATGTTGCTTAAATGTCCAAGATTCTTCTTATTTGACATTCCTGTCTTACTGCCTTATGGTTGACATTCATTTACTCAGAAATTGCACACGGAAAGAGTCATGGGGTAGCAATACTGTAACAGTTTGTGATTATACTGTATGTATGATATAACAGAAATAAAGGAGTCAGTCTTCTTAAACCAACAGCTTCTGTATTTCTTTGTAAATTCTAATTATATGGTCACACAAAGTGGGGAAAAATACAAAACCTTATACAAATAAAAAATACAAAACATAATATAGGAATATGAATAAATTTGGCCCTGTGGAAGGTATATTCCTTGTATAAATGTCACAGGTTTGATTGAATTGCACTGTTGCAATTAGCAAATGGTGTACTAGTACTTGTATTTAAAGTGGTTGTTGCTGGGGTTGGTCATAGATGGATAAGACTTTATTGATCCCGAAGGGAATCATCAATAGGGTTCAGTGATTGTGTAGACTGGAGAGGTGATGTTTGTGCCACCCCCTTGACTGGAGTTTAGTATTGATTTTATTTTGATGGATCCTTTTTATTGTTTAGTCTATTAATTTGCTAATAAAGCCACGAACCTCCTCAACCTCTCATAATCATGTTTTTTTTGGTATACATTACTTTTTTTTAACTTTTCATTATAAAACAGACAATAGCTCAGATTTTATATATTTATTTTGGAAATAACAGACATTTTGGTTGCTTCTAAAATAATACACAGCTGCTTTAATAATCTACTAAAGATGATAATGTTCTAACAAGGCTATGTGCATTTTTATAATAAGCCCTTGGCTCTTGAATAAACATTTAAACGTTTTGAATGCAGAATGACAGAGTACTGTATCAGAAAACCAATCAGAACAGTGAGGATCTGGTCATGATAGATCACTTTTAAATTTAAAGCGAAAGAACAAAAAGCCTAGTCTAAATCCTATTATCAACCATCTGGTGTTTTATAAATGATGCAAACAATTACTGGTTAATGCATAGAATTTTCTTTGGTCTCTGTATATTACAAAACCTGAATTCAAACCAGCTTAGAAATTGGGTCATAATTACTACTCACAGCCTCTTGATGATGTTTAGGTATAAATATACAGTACAATGTTGATGCACTGAATAATCAGATATCAATTCATTCAGACCCCCTTAAACTTGCTAATGAAACTTCATCTCCCAACCAGCAAAAGATTCATTTTTAACAGGTTTCGGAAAAGAAAAGGATGCAATACTGTAGCACACCAGATTTTGTCAAATTTGAAGCTCAGTGTTCTCTCATTAGAATTTTTAATTACACAGTAAATTGTTTGTCCCTTTAACATAGAAGTAAATTGACTCAGGGAGGAAATCATCTTGCATTCACCCTACATGCTCTCAGTGGCCTACCAGTCCACGTCCGGTCTGTATTTTAGCCTTGTATCAAGACCTCGAGCTCTGTTTCACTGTCTGCATTAACAGAAAAAGCAACTGTGGTGACGTTATGGAAGGCATCCATCTTGGCAAAGATGCCTTTAATCAAACCTGGGAACATCAGTGTGCTCCTGGCTGTGAGGGAGCCATACACTATCCTCACTATACAAGGTTACAGTGTTGCTCCTGACTCCCGATTGTCATCAGCTAGTTCTGTTTCAGGGGTGTCCGCTCTGTTCCTGAACGGTTGGTTTTTACTCCGTGCACAGCTCTCTAGCCAGACTGATCTCATTGCTTCATGACTTGCAAAAAAGTTAACGCTTGTCTCGAGTCGTTGAATTTTTCGCATCTACTGTGTCTACTATGCACTACGTTAAAACAATTAAATGTTCATTAGGCCTACAGATAATGAAGTGAAGGAAATGAAACAAGGGATGAGATCACAGAAGACTCTCTTGCTTGACGTCAGCCTGTGACTTGTGACTCCACACCAGCTAGAAGTAAAGTACAATCCATGACACCCAGCAGGAACAAGTGGACGCAACAGAAACTGTCCACAATTATACGCCAGAAATCTTTCAGCAATATAAATGGGAGGTACAAAGAGTTAAGAAAACACTTTTCTATGATACATTTTCTGTTAAGTACACAAATGTATGAGTACATCTGAATGTAAAATGAATAATCCTTTGCAAAAGTAAGGTTTTGTTCTCAGGGTTGGTGTTCAAAACACAACACTTTCATTCATGCCAAAGCTACTTCAAAATAAGATTTGTAAAATAAAAATGTTGCTTATATCCACATATACCATCAGTATATGTAGATGGTGGTGCTTAGATGCTTAGAACTCAATAACAATACCTGTATTTCAGAAGGTTAAAAGAACAAATAAGGGTATTGATCTACAACACGCAATAACATTACAGTAAAACACAATCCATAGAAGAGACATAAGATAAAACACTGCCAGAGGGAAGCACTCACCACACCTAACAAAAAGAAATCAAAGTCCTAATGCTAAAGATTGCTTAGGCAGTGTTTAGACTTTGTTTTTTTCCCCTTTAGTCACAGGACATGAGCGCTGGTCAGGCAACTAAGAAGTTTAGAAATAAATGTGTAAACCGGGATATCTAACTGTTCAGGAAAAAATACACATTTAGCATATCAAGTAAAGAGAAATGACCAAACAAGTAAATTTTCAAAAATGGTCTTTAAAGGGTGTTTATAACTCTGTTGAAGAAAATAACTGTTTGTTCAGCATATCAGTTGATGAAATCCCCTTTGTCCTATTTTGTAAGTTATTTTCAAATGCAAAGTTGTTCAGACATAGAGGAAAAATCTGGGTTTAAGAGAAGAAACAAACCCAAGTACAAAACATTCTGCATTTTTAACTGCAGGATTTAATATCCACCTCTGAGAAAAGAAGTCATAAACAATTTGAGTCTAACTTTATTCTCTATGAAGTATAAATAGTTGCTATGTTAATAAAATATTTTCCTAAATATTTTGAACCTTGGCATTGAATGTGACAACAAAAAAAAACCCAACAAAGCGTGTTTTTCATTACAGTTTCATAAATAGTCAGTGCAAAATAAATACACTAAAAATAAAATAACATAAATCACACTTTGTATAAACATTCACATTATTCAGTATCCTATTCATGCCCTCAGTTTTGAAGTTTAAAAGATCTCAGATATCGTGGGATGTTATTTCCAGGCAGCTGGGTCTTAACTTTCCCTGTTTAGAGCAGTTCTGTCCTCTGAAGAAGCCTCAAGCTCTGAATGCAACTTTGATTTTTCTCAGCTCTTAAATATGTAGCCATCCCTCGGGCAATACACATGTACAGCAAATAAAAGTGGCTTTTTTGGAAGATACTAAAAGATTACGCTCTTTTGTCCACACATACAGTACAATCAATAAAAGTACTAAAAAACGTTCAAATATGTGTGACACTTTGATGGTAAATCTGATAAAATGCTCATTTTGCAGGCACCTTGGTGCTACACCAACACTCCAACTCCCTGCACTTCACAGGCCAGGAGAAATTCCTTTAAGACTCGTCTCGAACAGTTTTTAAGGCCTGTTTTTCACAACTAACAGTGCCTTTAGAAAACAAAAACAGCTTAACCAACACAGTTCTTATTGGAATAATTCTTCCGTTACATCCTCTAAGAAATATTATAGTTCCAGGAGGAAAACTGACAGCTGGTGTTTTGTTCTTTATATTGTCTCCTAAGAGAATGATTAGTTGCATTTTGAAGAGAGAGATTTAACATTACAAAACATTGTAGCTGCCCAAGCTCTTTATGTGGTTTCCCAGATATTAGTTTAGTGGACTGATCAGGAAGTCCATCAGTTTTCCAAATGGACGCTGCTGTTGCATTCCCTGGCAATAAACAATTGCAGGAAGGATATGGAAAATATCTTAATTGCAGTTCTTCCTATGAATAAATAACTCTGCTGTAATGCATAAGTAATAATAAGCCTGCATAAGGGACATATTCACTACGAATATATCATTTTCAAGTAAAAATGCAGCACAGAATCGACCAAGTTCTTGTAGTGCACTCGTCATTTGAATATAAATTAAGATTTTAAACCACAGATCAACAAAAAATATATAGAATTCATTGACATATATACAGTACTTACGTTTACAGTCATAAGTCACAATATAAATTTAATCTTCAAATGTTTCATATACTGAAAAGTCAGTGTTAATTGCCTGTTGCCACGATTGAGATCATACAACAAGCCTGACAAAACCCACACAACCCCACACACCCACGCAAAACCCACACAAACCCTCACACCCACGCAAACTGGTTTTGTCTTGATTCAGGTGCTCATTCACTTCAGCAACAGCTTCAGGCGAGTTCAGGTGGAAAAAGTTCTGAATCTAGTATTGAACCACCGTCTGGACTTCATGAACTTGTCCATTTTGACCTAGCAGAGCATTCCAATATGTATTCCAATGCTTCTCTGTGTACCAACGGCTCAAGACACAAGAACAAAACGTCAAATTCAAAGCAAAATATGTTCCAGCAAAAGAATATGGGTAGGGGAGTAACACATAGCACCTATAACTCGCCACCTTTACTGTTTTTGTTGATTTTGAGGTATCTTTCTTATTCTATTTACAGCATACTGGCACTTCATTATTTTTAGGACACTGAAAGAAGTGTGATGGCTTTTTTTAAACAGCCTTTGCTGGCAGATATCTGTACCTTTTCTTAAACACTCTCAAGGGGACATGCAGTAAGCAGCTACATTTCGTGCACCAGCTGTTCCTGCTGCGGCGGCTTCGGGGGAGGAATCCGTGTGGCAGTGTTGTGGTCCCCAGGCGTCACCCTGTTCCCCTCGGATCTCCGCAGCACTGGAGCTCAGGTCCACACGCACAGGAGGAAACCAGCCACCAGCGGGGTGAGGTTAACCACCAGCAACCAGAGAGTCACCACCAGGCCAGAAGAGCTAGAGCAAGGATCTGGAATTTTAAAAAAAAGGAGCCGGTTAGGCAAAGATTTAACAGTCCCTCAACTTTTCCATCTATTTTCTAACCGCTTTTTCCCCAATACCAAGTCACGTGGGAGCCGGAGCCTATCCTGGAGAGAAACAGAGGCAAGGTAGGGTACACCCTTGACAGGACACCCAGTCCATCACGGGGCACACAGACACACACACTCACACCAGGGCCAGCTCTCCCAGAAGCCAATTCATCTACCAGCATGTCTCTGGACTGTGGGAGGAAACCAGAGCACCCAAGGGAAACCCTCACACACACACACAGGGAGAACACGCAAACTCCACAAGGACAGCACCCCAGGAACTGAACCACTCTGCCACTGTGCTACTCCGCCTCAGGTTTTCCGAAAGGCAAACGTTTTGATCCTGAAAAGTCCGGCGTACGCCCCCACAAACGTCTACTACTGCCTCATTTGCAATCTTACCTATCGGAATGCTTTGCGACTTGTTAAAGAAGGGGAGGTAGCGGTCGGGAGGGCAGGAGCCGCAGAAGTCGGAGCAAGACGGGCAGATCAGGGATCCAGTGTACACCCAGTCAGCACCCTGAACGTTGACGTCCAGCAGCTGGCCGGCGCGGCTGCACAGGAAGGCGCTGCCCTGGACCCACACCGTGAGGCCTTGAGGAGAGCAGGAGATCTTCGCCGAAGCAAACAAAAAGTGAAGCTCAACATCACAGTCAAGACCAGCTGCCTTGCACGTAAGATCGAAAGGCAAACATATCACAGCCTTAAATCCCTGTGGGAGTTGTATGCGCACGGAATCTAATTGGTTTGGAGAATGTGAAAGCGATCCTTGCTACCGTGACCGGCCAGCAGCAAGTCTGCTGACTAACATCATGATGCTGAAGTAAAATGCCATTGCACGAGGGACCCTGCCTTAGCTAGCACTCTTTGAAGTCCAGCACACACCTGCCCAGAAACATCTAAGACCAGTTACAGATGAAGGGAGGCTGGTTTAGCTGCTTTTGTCCTCCAGCCGTGTCTGGAAAGCAGCCAGGACTTGTTCCAGACTCCCAAAACCCATGTGATGCATCTAGTTAAAACAGTAACTGATCCAGTAAAAAACTTCAACTCATGCCATCCCAAGTGGTGTTATTAGTTTACATTTACATTTTAATTATCAAACACATAACCTGAAACAACGTGATACTTTTAGCTTGTGAAAATAATGGTTTCATGATGTTCTCCATCTAAAGACACTTAGTTCTGTGTTGAACTCAACTGTTTTACTATTAAAAAGACAGTAATATAGAAGGTCATTAAGTCTGCGGTCAGATCTAATTTTGTCACCTTATAGCAGCCACTCCCCCAGTCTGGGTAAGTCATTTTTCTAGTGCACTGCTCCATTACAAAAGCGGATTTCTGAAGGACACAGACTGAATTTGGGCCATACTCTTCAGCGCCGAAGTTTCTGTACAAATCTGGAATAAAAGAAACAAAAGGTCAGACACAAGTGTAAAAATGAACAGAAACCATTGTGGCAAAAAAGAACAGTGTTTCTGTTTCCCCTTTCTCTGCAAAGACAAATCTAGAGGAACAGAAGCAATGTGTTCTATTCTTTAACAGAACGTTCTTGAGCAAGAACCAGAATCTCTTATCACCCACTGGGCTGTTTCAGAGATAGTTCTACATTTAGGTTTCCTCATAACTCTTACATGGGTGTCCAATCACAACTCAAACCCCAGGTTCCTGTAAAACTGCACTAAAAATAAGCCAATAGCAGATCCATATTCTTCCAGCACTGCACATCTAACCTGGCTGGTTTTCAGGGACTCTGCAGTCAGAACTGCGCTGGTATTCTCCGCTGAGGTGCCAACTGAATTCCTGGCTGAACGGGCAGTAGTCAGCAATCTCCACTGATCCACCATAGTAAGGCAAGTCTTGGACAGGTATGCCAGGGATACCATCAAAGTACTGTGGACAAGAAGAGAAACGCCTTCACTTTTAGGTAGAAATAGAGCTTTTTTATAATCTGTGCCCATTTTGTATTAATAAAATGCAAGGGAACAACCTACAGTAAGTAACTGTAACTGAAAAACATGTTGTGGTTTATTTCGGGTGCAGCCAAGATGAATTATAAAAAATTCTACAATTATAAAACAAAATTCAACTCAACAACAACAGCTTTTTTTTTTACATCACAACAAAAAAACACAATATTTCACAAAAGAGACAACCATCATAAAAAACCTTCTTGATTCTTAAATACCTGATATTCCCTTGGGAGGTTTGTAGGGTATTTCTGTAAATTGCACACGGCCAGTGCTAACTGGTCCTGCCTGCAGGTGAGCTGCAATGGCATGCTTCTCAGTTCATCACAGTATGGGGCAACTGTCTGTTTCCTGCAAGAACACAACCACAGGTTCTGAAACATAACCCCTTCAAATGGGTTCCAGCTATTGAATTGTCCTGTCATCCACACGTCTCCAAAAGTAAACACACGCGGAAAGCATCAGTGCTCTCATAATCTCCGTAAGAGACTTACTGCTGTCGGCGCTGCTCCATCCAGAACTTGCAGCTCTTCATCACAAAGTCACAGCCCATTCCACTGCCCCAGTCCAGGCGCTCTGCCATGCTGTAGTTCGCTCTGTACCACCTGAGGGCTCGTCCCGCCACAGGAAACACGGTTTCAGTGCAGGAGAAGAGAGAGGGGACAGTGTGGCACAGTAGCACAGGGGCGGGTCTCTAGCCATGTAACTGGAAGCTCGTGAGTTCAGATCCCAGGTGAGACGCTGCTGTGCCGAGCAAGGTGCATGGCCCAGATTGTTCTGCTACAATACCAAGCTACTGTACATACGTGGTTACAAATGTAAGTGGGCTAAACGCATCAGCCAAATAAATCAGTAAAAATAAGAGTCCGCTTCTATGAATCGAAACATTTGACATGTGGAGCGAGACAGGCCAACATGGGAAAGAATGTGAACCAGAGCACAACGCTCTTTCAGATGGGATTGTTCACAAAGATTTTTACTTTCCGCCAATACAGGAAACCAGCAGGAATCTATTAGTTAATCTATTTCCTTTTTTACCGATATCAAGAAGTCATTCGCTGCAAAGACTATGGACCCAGCTGTCAGATTCCATTTTTTTCTTTAGTCCGCTTAATATTGTGCCTGCAGACTTTTTGTGTAATCGTGTTTATTTCATTGATTTTTCGAAACAACAAAACATGAAAACAAGAACACACTCTCCGCAAGACACCGCACAAACTACTACCCTCCCTCATCCTCCATGCCCCTCACTGGGACTGCCTTTCATGTTTCTGCCCGGGGACTCCTAAAAGACAGACAAGGAAACCCCCCCCTCCTGCACAGGTTTGACAGCAACAGCAGCTATACTCCAGCCCTCCACCATCCCACTGCTGGCACCAAGTACCCCAGCAGTGGGCGCCTGCCGTCTTGTGAAATCTTGTTCAGATCTGCCCAGCAGTGTTTCAAAAGCGTGGAGCAGAGGCTATTTGCTAAAGCTTCAGGATGCTCACCCCGTGTCTTCCATTATTGCCAGTGTAATCCTGGAGAACACTCTGTTCTGTGTATGAGATCCCGTCATTGCTTCATTCTTAAAGACAGTGAAATGGCAGGTGAGAGTCAGCATTCCGATTTTATAAAGTGAGTGATTCATCAACCGCATAGGGATCAACCTCTGGCTCTAGGTGGGGTGATAAAAAGACTAAACCTGTTCAGACAAGGAAAAAACTTTAGACCAAACACCATTACAATTTTTAATCTGGCAATGCTATTCACATGCAATAGTGGAAGCTCTGAAGGAGCTTGCCGAGATCAAAAACATACAGAAACACGTGACCTTCAACGAGCATCACCGAGAGTGCAGAGATTACCTCCAGTAGTCTCTTCTCCCAGTGGTTCAGCTCCGTGCCTAATCCTCCCTGATTCTCAAGCTCCATGCCCTCTAGGATAGGACAGTCAAAGTGCTTCCTTGCTTCTTCCTTTGACGAAATAGATTACACGTTATTATTGTCAAGGATTAAGATAAGATATAAAGATACAATACATACATGGTAGCCCAACTATACTCCTGGAAAAATCATCTGGAGAAGGCCATTTTTGTGTTAGTAGGATTCTGAATATAGAGAGAGAAAAAAAGAAGCAATCAGAGCAAGGTTTTCATTTTGTGCCTTTATAAGAGTTTTTACTGCTTTTTAATTACAGTCCAGAGAGAGTAAAGGCTAACGAAGAGAAACATTCAGAAAGTTTTTAATTAGACTGTTTTCTAAAACTGCTCTGAAAGCAAATCGATTTCATGTAACTGCATACACAACAGTCAGGGTAACATTTAAGGAAGGACAGAGGAGCAACTGTGCTCTCCCCTGGATGGGACACTGGTGTGTTGCAGGGCTGTGGAGTGAAAGACAATTTAGAACGGCCAATGACTCCAATCTTGTTTTTGAGAGTCAGGAAGGGACCGGATTACCCAGCAAAATCCCACACGAACAGGCGGAGATTGTGCGAACTACACCGAGGAGCTCACCATTGGAGCCCGAAATCAAACTCTCAGCGTGCCATCCAAACCCGGCGATGTGAGCAGAGAAACCTGACAGCTCAGGCATCATGCACACGTCCTGCCCCATCAGCCTCCGAGTCCGGCACTTACCACCACGCGAGGCGTGACTAAAAGGAGCACATTGTGGCGCACCATCTGGTTGCCACGGATATCCCACAGCCTCGTGGTTTTTCGCACGGTTTTCTCGCTCCACTGGTACAGGCCCAGGCTGCGAAAGAATGAGCGACCGTTAAAAACACGGAGGGCTCACGGGCCTTGTTTCACCGGCACGGTTCACGAAGCCTCAGCGCCACTGCACTGTGTGACAACAAGCTGAGCCAGAGTCCGAGGCTGGAGAAGAGGCCTGTGGCTTTCACTCGCTAGCACCTGCCCCACGCACCTCTCGTTGAATGGCGGCAGCCCGCCTTCATAGCGCTGGGTCAACGGCTTCCCTTCATCATCGTGGTAAAATGCAAAGAGCCCAGCGGAGAAACCCTGTATTGAGAGAGATTCATATCAGAATATAACTTCAATTTCAAGAGCCCTAATAAGTACTGTTTCTGAAGGAGTAATGCCACATGTAATCTGCTACAGTATGGGGGAATGTATCACCCTAAAATCGTTTTACTAGAAGCAAATATAATGTATATTATTAAGCACTCTTACTGTATGTTTAGTTATACATTCCTTAATATATCTTTCGATATATATAGCAAATACATGTGAACCAACAGCATACTTATTTCTAATATGAATACGTTTTGGGAGCGTACAGATGCCATAGAGCAATAAAAGAAATCTGGGTACATTTCTTGTTATAACGTGATACTTGATACATGAAATCTTATGGCGCTTGCATTAATGGTACATCAGATGCAGACGCCACCCACAAAATAGGGTTAAAGACACGTAGCAGTGATCCAACTGTGCCCATGAATTACTTCCTGATCAATCAGGACTGGATCAATCCAGCCTATACAAGTACAGGAAATGAAATCTATTACTTTAATTTGTCTTCAGTTTTGACAAGATCCGTATCTCACTCTAAGGGGACATATGGCCACTTTTTGTACTCTGTGGGACCAATATGCTTCCATACTCACATAAAGACATTATGTTATGAATAAAAAAAAGGCGTTCTGTATACAAAATGCATGAGGCAGCACTTTGATGAGTTCTGTTTCCATTGCAATTGGTCTGACTGGACAGACATTATTATATTATTAGATATGCAAAGAAAAACCTGTGTCAGTTAAAGATCTGTTTCAGAAGGTGGCCAAACAAAACATCAGTTTCTTTATTATGATTAATTCAGCTCAACGAGATACAGTATACCAATTTACAATGTAGTGTTTAGTACAATGAATATGTAGATACCTGCCACACCAACCCAAGTTCCTCATTATGGCATACATAATGTATTTTCTTAACCTCACAATTCACAGTCACAATGTAATTAGACTACTAAACGTTTTGTAAAGCTAGGTAAACAAATGAAAGAGTTTAGCTTTCTTACCAAAGCATGAATGATCTCATGTTTGACAGTGGAGAGCATGCCAACGTAGTCCTGAGCTTGTGTAGAGATCATATTTGGGCATAAATTAGCATATCCAGCAATAGGCCTACAAAACCACAGTACATAGAAGTTAAGTAAGGTTCACAGGCTATTTTCACATTATAATTTTCAGTGTTGTAGATTTTACACCTCATTATATTAAACCTTTAGCTAGTGCAGGCACAGTACACTGTATAAGATGTGCGATACACTACGTAAAGGGAAGGTCACACACTGTCAGTCATGACTCACGTAAAGTGCAGCAGTCTGAAGTCGAGCTCACAATTCTTTATAAAACTTCATGGACTTTAATACTGTTATCTGTCCCTGCTCTCCTGGAATTAACTGAATAATGCTTGGTTTTGTTAGTACTATACCTTTACAGTATACAGTACTTTTCAAGTTAGAGATACTCCAATTATATGATTCAAACTAACTTTTAAATGTTTAATTTCTGGTTAAAGAACTGTTGAATCGGTTGTCTGTGGTCATCTTTTAATCTTTATCCACATTAACACAGCTTTCCCATATCGAATCATTGTGCTTCCTTTATGCCGTTAAATCCCTGCTACTGTACGTATCTAATGTAGTTCGCCAAGTTTGCATGAAAAGATTCTCGCGCCATGTCCTCTCACACGCTAACTGTCACCTAACTATATAGTATATTCCTAATGGAGTTCTTTTATTCTCTTTGCAGACTTTGATACCGGCGTCTGTGCCTGTACTCTCCACATCAATAAAACCGAGTTCATGGGGGGTATAAAAAGACACCTGAGATAAAGTAAAGCCAAATTCAGTACAACCCTAAGATGCACTTTAGACTCGAGGGTTGGATTTCAGCACATGTCATTTATGGAGTGGGACCGACATGAAGCGTGTAAAATCTGCTACTTGAACAATAAGACAATAACCATCCTCAGCATACCTTCACAAAATGAAGTCCTCTTCTGAAAATGGGTGCTGAAGCGTATCTGAGCCCCTACCAGCTGAAGCGCGCCCCCGCCCGGCGCCTCACCTGTCCAGCTCGGCCTCCAGCTGGCAGTAGGCAGCGTACGCCACGATGTTCTCCTGCCCGCACCGCTCCGTGGTCACCCCGCTCACGTACAGCACGAAGTCCGTGTCCTGCACCCCCACGCCATCCGGCCGCCCTGCGGCGCCGCGGGCCTTCCACACTCGGCATTGCTGGAAGAATCGCGCGGCGCAGAAAGGGACCGCTCAGCCTTCCATTCCACGACAGATCATCTCAGAGAGCGGGGGGGACGCTTCTTTACACAAAGGGTGGTGGGAGCGTGGAACAAGCTGCCCGGCCGTGTTGTTGATTTCTTACCGGAAACATCCGGGTGAGCTCCTATTACTACGAAGCGAGCTGGGTGGGCAGAATGGGTGACACACTGACCTGTAAATGCTCCTCTGGGACGACCACCGGTCCACAGCGCGTGATCTCTGCACAGGCTCCCTGACAGTATCTGTGAGGGTCATCTTTCTTCCTTAAATACTGGTTGGTGGAGCATTGTCTTTGTGGGAAAATATCAGCGTGTACAGCGTGGAACAAATCAGATCAGCGGTTGTAACATAAATTGTTAGAACATTTGTTTCTTCATACCGTTCTGCTCTAAAAAGATTAAAATATGATTTACATAGCTGTAAACCCTTTTAAAAAATTCGAACGTTTCATAAACATTATATTTACAATTAAAACACGAGGAGGAGAAGATGATACAAGACAAGCATGAATTCAGATATTTAAATATTTTACATTACCTGCTTAATAAAATAGGACCAGTTGGTCTCCGAACTTGAAATGCCTTCTGTAAATAATCAGTGGCTTGAGGGAAGAGCTTGTCCTACAACAGACAATTAGACACTTACTGTACCTTAACACATTACACTTACGGACAGAGTTTTTTTTTCTTTTTTTAAATGATACAATTCAGACTTTATTAATTTTTAAGTATAAATTAATGTAATGTTCTTCATACCTTCACAAGTCTTCTTTTATCTGCATGTAATCTGTTGAGGGAAATTAAAAAAAAGTAAACTGATTATTTGTAAATCCAGTACATGGCTGATTTGTTTAATAATGAGAAAGATCGTGTTCGTAAGAAGGCAGTATGTTTCGCTCTTCAATACTTACTCATCCAAACTTCTATCATATATAAGTTTTATTCTTAAACGGTGATCAGTGCTTCTCTTGACTACCCTCTCTGTCTCCAGGGGCACTTGGTAAACCACCTAGGAAAAAAATCATAACATTTAAATTGACAAATGAAATAATTAATTTCGGCAACTTCCTACACAGAGCTGGTACCACCAAAAAACGTTTTTGTTTTAGGGAAAGACATACAGTAAATAACCTAGACCAATCTTAAAGTAACATACAACAATCCTTCCTTGAAAATCCCATTTCAATGACAACGCAATTCAAAAGGCAAGTCATTTAAGACGACAGAGCTGACTCAACAGGGTTATATATAATAATTCAAATACTACAGCATCAACAGGTTTTATTGGAAAGACAAATAACGTCTTAATGCAGAAAACATTTAAATGAAGGCAGATGTTGTGAAAATGGATTAGTGGATTTTAATCCCACTAATCTCATTTCTTGACAGACCCATCGGTGCCCTGTAGACAATTAGGTCTGGGGGTTGGGGAATCGTTATTTAGATTTGACCAAATAAGTTTAGAAGAATAAAAACAAATATATATATATAAACAGTATCTGTTTAATGCCTCATGTTATTTTAACAAAGATTTCGTTTTAAAATCTTGTAACTCCTTACTCACACGCCTTCAAACACTACCGGGCGAAAAGGTCTTCAAAGATGATATAATAAGATTATTTACTCGAGATACATCTAAAACAAAGCTATTGTATCTTATTTAGCTACTCATAGGAAATAAAATGTGTATGGCATAACCACACAACCATTTCACATTTTTCAACTAAAAACTGCATACTGAAAATCAGATACTTATCCAGCAAATAATCAAATTAAAGACGTGATGTTGCGCCTTTCCTGCAAAGTACGAAAAAAAAAACTACAACGTATAAAACCCAAAACAGATAAACTGTCCTGGTTACAGGTAATTGTTTTTAGCGAAATCGGTCCTTTTAACACCGATTTCTTACAACTGCAGGGCATATCGCAGTGTTTTATTCAGGGTACATCTTGCATTACTACAGTACATGACACGCACAGATCAGCCCTGCAACGCGAGCTGCTGTCACAGCCACCAACCAGATTACAGTGCAAATAATCCCGGGGAAGGACCTGCTGCTGCATTCTCCAGCTCCCCGGTGACTTACCTCAGACGAATCGGGTACACGGTGTTTACAGATATGACAGCTCACGAACAGCAGAGACAGAGATAAGAGACAAAACCGGCCGGGCGACCAAAGCAGGTTCCAGCAGCGGTTCCACCCGGCCGCCATCATCTGGGACCCCAAGCCGGGAGGTATGACACTCGGTCCGGGTTTACGTGACACACACGCATTCGACACCCCTCTCTGCCTGCTTGGCCGCCGCTGTCGTGGAAATGTATGAGCGAGTGTATTTTCCAACGTAGCAGCATCCGGCTACGAGTAAGTACAAACACGATGCTCTATGGCTCTGTACGAGCGGCACAAACACTTCATACGGGGCAGGCAAAACCGAAGGATTGTGGATATTCTACCTCACCTCATCCAATTGCTCAGAACCGAGACGTAGCTGACAGAGCAACGGATGTTGGTGTTGTTTTGTGATCTAAAACCAAACTAAACCAGCTTCATGTATTCTTCATGTATTCTGGCCATTACAGAGAGAAATCTGTATTTTCTTGCCTAGAATTCTATGAAGCACAGTGCTGTATCTATTCAGATCTGACTGTATTTGGTATCAAATGTCGGATGCAACTAAATCTTGCAGCTACTAGACTGAGGTTGTGGTATTTGGTTTCTACAGGGTTTCAAGCCTAATTGACTTGACCATGGGTACCAGTGTGCGTTCAGCAATTAAAAAGTCTCGGGTATTCTTGGACCCAAGTGACACTGTTGAACTGGGGTTCTATAGGAACGCGGGCTAGCTAGGTCTCTCTCGTTGTGACCTATTGGCACTGTTCTTTAATTCATTAATAAATCAATGATAATGATGATGATGATGAATTCCTTGCACTTCTAAAATACTTTGCTGGACACTCCACTCAAAGCGCTTTACAGGTAATGGGGACTCCCCTCCACCACCACCAGTGTGCAGCCCCACCTGGATGATGCTACAGTACGCTCCCCACACACCAGCTCTCAGTGGGGAGGAGAGCAGAGTGATGGAGCCAGTTCAGAGAGGGGGGGTTATTAGGAGGCCATGATGGGTAAAGGCCAGGGGGAAATTTGGCCAGGACACTGGGATAACACCCCTACTCTTTTTGAGAAAGGCCCTGGGCGTTTTTAGTGACCACAGAGAGTTAGGACCTCAATTTTATGTCTCATCCGAAGGACGGCGCCTTTTTACAGTAGAGTGTCCCCACACAGCGCCCCCTGCTGGCCCCACTAACACTTCTTCCAGCAGCAGCCTTAGTTTTTGCCAGGAAGTCTCCCATCCGGGTTCTGCTGAGCTTCAGTAGTCGGGTGTATTAGACCTGATCTGCTGTGCAGGGGGGCTGCTGGTGCCCAAGGAGAGCAGTTGTGTTTCGCACAGGTGGGGCTGCATTTCAGTGGTGAGAGAAGTGGGTCGGTGTATGTAAAGCATATCAAATAAAATTATATGTATAGCACTATGGAATCCTATGAGATATAAATCGTATAAATACAGTTAATATATATTTATATATATTTGATGCTTGTTGCATTTATAATAATAAGATTAAAGAATTCCCTATGGTTTTGAGACGGCAAAAAGTTGGAAAGAAACCTATTGCTTGTGAGATGTGAATTATAAATTAACAAAACCGCAATAACGGACCTTAAAAAGTGTGTTAAAATGTTCTAAATTACATACGGTGCATTGTGTATTTCCAGCTGAACCAACAAGTGTAAGCTCTGATGTTGAAAGATCTTTGATCATCTAATGCAATCACCGGTAGAAGCCTCAATAACCCAATCCCTTGCTCGGCTATTGATGACTCAACCTGGTCGCTGCAATGTGGATAAATCACATAAACCAAGGCTGTGTTACACACATGCGACAATAAATCCGGGTATGTACGGCCCCGCCCCCAAACTGTCGGAAATACACGAATGCTTCCGATGATGAGCGTTTGCAACATCTGCGGTTTCCAATCACTGCAGCCCCTATAGTGGCTGAGACCAATCACACCGTGCTGTGGTCTGAAGCCACACCAACGCCCACTTCCACAGTCAGACGCGCGAGTAAAATGTGATACGTTCAGGAGTGGGGAGTCAGGACCACGAAGTTGACTTGTAATACAATTACGATCACGTCCTGTGGTATTACACAGGCTCTTCCCTATATTCTAAACTCAGTTACCCACTCTGTTATTACCATAAATAGAATAATTTTGTACAAAAATGATTATAAAACGTTTTCTGCATTGCAATGAAGTGCTGAGTTATTTAGCTGCATGGATACTACAGTGAGAATAACCCAGCTCTTATTAAACTTTTAGCCGTCTTGAGTTAAATTCCATAAAGCATATTCACAGCACACAAAATGTATATTATATTTACATATACAATGCCCATTTTTCAATAACTGAATTTAGTGTTTATTTTTCTTACAGTTTCCGTCACGCCTGAAAAATATTCAAGCGAATCAAAAGGTGTTCTCAAAGAACTGCACTAGGCAAGGAAGATGAGTTTATTCTGGTCGCAGCCTCTTAGAAAGGTACACACCTGGTAGCGTCCGGACAGTAAAACAGTCCTCATCCCTGGGTATGTGCCTGAACGCCAGGCACACTGGTAGGGCTGTCATGCACTAGATGGAGTATCACTGAAAGCTTATTGATCTGTTTTGGATACGGCTGGAGGTGTTTTGCTTTTGGACTTTATATGACCCACAACAAGACTGGACCCGTCTACAGTCCTGAATTTTGAAATTACACTTTTGCAGCATGTGTGATCGTGTAGCCGTGAAGTACTGAATGTGCCAATGTATTGATCAGTGAAGGGTGGGGGATCATTAAAGAGTAGCTGGCTTAGTGCTCCTTTTCAATACTCAGATCAGCTCTCGTTACGAGCTTTTTTTTTATCCGTGAATAGTAAGTTGAATAGGAGCCTCAGGACTCAGACTACATTTAGCGCTTGATCAATAATTTGTATTTCACGCTCCAAAAACTTTAATCTTTATAATTCAGCAAACAGGCGTGGATGAACATGTAACATCGAAATTGCATTATTTCTAATCTTAGAATATGAAAGATTACGAATTGTGCGGTCACCGTGAAATCCAAACTGTGATAGTTTTCTATTTAAACAAAACTTCATTTTCTGCGAGGATTCTAGACATTTCCAGTAGATGGCAGCAAGTGCTTTAAAATAGATGCGTCTAGACAGCGAAAATATCCAAATGTCAGCATTTATGAAAATTCACGACGTACTTATTCGTGTCATATTGATAATCGTGTTTTAAAGTGTGTTTTGGAAATGTGTTCATGCACAAATGGAAAGTAATAATTATAATTGGGGCTTGGTTGAAATGGGATTAGGATCAGGTCATGTGGAACATCAGTAACTGGAGACCGGTTTTGTTCACTGGCTCAGGCAGGTTGAGATCTGGCGAAGAAGGAGCCATCTTTTTCTCTGCTTCCTGTTGCAAAGCATGATGGGCCTGTTTCTGGAGTCAGGGCCTGGTCTGACAACGGAGGCTCTCTGTCACCCAGGAAGTAATCCCCCAACACACAGGTGAGACATGTGACTGTCCACTGGCCATTAAGTGGTGCCGCTAAAGACAGTGTCAGCCCGTAGGGAGCAAACATCATAATTGTTGATACTGAATTAGCAGCTGTCACAAAAATGTTTTTTCCCTGACATTTTTATGAGTGTGTGCAGGTACCCTGTGATGATCTGGCATCCATCCTTGTGCCTTTGCATTCCAAATAGGCTCCAAGCTGCTGAGACCCACAAACTTGAATAAGTGGTAACTATTTCTGGTAATGGATGGATAGATACTGTATACTTGTCTCTCACTGGGAGTGGGGCAGGATTAAAGAGGATGACTACAGTCCATTCAGAGGAGCTCAGGGCTGTGCAGGA